CAGAAAGCTTTTAATAGAACTTTTCAAGATCCAAGTAACCTTTCGGAAAGGTTTATACAATTTATTGACAAGTGTCTAGATGAATACAATACGATTGGTAGTTATTATTATGCGCCATATACAACCTTAATTCAAGCCAGTGGTGTAGGAAAATCCAAATTATTGATAAATGTTGCTGAAGAGATAATGTCAGTATATTGCTGTTTGCGGAAATCCGAATCAAGTGGCTATCCACCCAGATCGGATATTGCCAAAATGTTAATAAAAGAGTTTAATAATGAACAAGATGCCAAAACCACCTACCTTGCGTACATATGCGCATGCTTTCAAAAGATGCAAGATTTCAGTGGAGATTGTAAGAAATGGTTGGATGAGCATACCAATAAAAATTTGCAAGGGAATTTTTGGAGAGATGTTGAAAACAGAATGAAAAATATAAAGGACCATTTAATGACATGTTCTACGGATAGTGAGACAACTGACTTGGTCGAGAAATATTTGGTTAAAAAAAACACAGTAATAAAACGAGAAGGTCCAGTTAAATACCTGTTTGCATTCGATGAAGCTAGTACACTGGTTGGTAATAAGGATGGAAGTAAAAACGTTGGAAAAATTTCACCGTTCTATTATATTCGACGTGCTTTAATTCTCTTACCCAAAGGAGCAGGAATTTTTGCAGTCTTTACGGACACACATTCAAATATTTCGAACTTTTCGCCTGCTTATTACCTCGATCCATCTAAAAGAGTTGCAGAAGAAAAATTTAAATTATTTGCACCATTTTATTTGTTAGACACTACGGACATGAATGTTAATCTTAGGGAGGTAAAGACATTAAAGGAGTCAGAAGATCCACGACATTTCTTTCAGTATGGAAGACCTTTGTGGGGTGCACTATTAATGCCTTCTAGTGATGCTAAAGGAATGGAATCAGAACGTATTATCGAATTGGCCATGGATAAGCTTATTGGCGGAAAATATTTTGGTGTTTGGAGGGAAGAAGTACAAATTAAAATATTGGATACTTTGGCTATTCTAGGACCCCGTTTATGTATCGAAATAGCGCCACAATCTGGATATGCGCCTGATTTAATAGCAAACAATATGCGCCTTTGTATTAGTGTCTTAGAGGATCGTAAATACGTTGTTACATCGATGCCTACTGAACCTGTGCTAGCAGAGGCTAGCGCTCGAATAATGAACGATCCGCATATCAGCCTCACAGAACTTATTAATAAGCTCTCCGAAGCCTTAAAAAAAGGCGTAGTAGAGGCCGGTTACCGTGGAGAGCTTACAGCCAGATTATTACTTCTCAACGCCTGGGATTGTTGTATCAAGAAAAAGATCCTAGATGAGAATAACATGAATATTAGCAAAAATTTTTTTCGATTCGTGACTCTTGAAGAATTTTTAAAATCATTACTCGCGGACAATGTTTATGAGAAAATAAAGAATCGCC